CATGCACAGATCTGGGGGGGGGGGTCCACAGGTCCTGCCTGCCCCCTGGAAGTGTGTGTAATGGTGGGGAGCCAGCCCCACTCCAAGCCCCAGATGAGCCACTCACAGCCCTGTCCCACTCCCCACCAGGGCCCTGAGGCCACAAATTGCAGCCCTGGGCCCCAAAACCTACACACTGCCCGGCTGGACAGCAGCCCCAGCCAAATTCCCTCCCTCCCTGTAGGGACCTCAATCTTCCTCTCCCGAGACACTTACCTGCAGGAGCTGCTCTCCAAGCTGCCTGGGGCCATGTGCACATACATGCACATGGCACTCCCTGCCTGACCACCCTCCTCCCACTCCCCCCAGCCCCTGCAGGCTGGAACTCTGCCAGCCTGCAGAGGGCTTGTTGCAAAACTGCAAAGTCTGTGGGTTTCTCTGCTAAACTGATGAATCTGCATTTTACTCTGGTAAGGGAAGAAATCCACATTTTACTCTGTTTTTTTCCACGGGAAACGGAAAACCGGGATCCCTGCAGATCACTTATACAGGTTTATGTGCAACTTCTGTCCCTAGTCCAGATGGAAAAGGAAACAGGTGCCCAGCTAGGGCAACAAGTATTACATAAAGGAAAAAACAAAACAAAACCCAGTTGATTTAATATCTGTCAGATACCCAAGTGTTTCCCAAAACTATAAAAAGGTGGGCTCATTTTCTGCCCAGATCTTCACTGTACAGTTGGACTGAATAACTGGCACCAAATCTGAGCATCCACGTTATTCTAGAATCCCTGCAGCAATGCCTGACCCACATGACCGTATTCTCTCCTGTTCCTTCACTCACCGGCGTGTACATCTGACAATATAAACCATGGTTTAGACGCACTTGGATTTGCTCCTAGTCACTGTGCCAATGAAAGAACTTTTCTGACCTTGGGGGAAAGTGCGGGAAGGGTTTTTGAGGATTTATAGACCTCGACTGATTTTGTCCTAACTGCCAAGTCCTAGTGAAGGTGCAGTTCATAAATCTAACCAAGTAGGATACCTGCATTTTAAAGCATCTTCTGGGGAAGATTTCTGTGTGGACAGTAGAGAAATTAGGGCCAAAAGCTGACTGAGAGCATGGATTACCTGTGCAACAATGAAGTCTCCCCTTAACTCCCCTCATCAGTCCCCCTCTGAAAGCCTACCCCCATTCTTTAAATACAAGATAAATCACCAAAATAAAGAATCATTTTTTTCCTATCGGTTTATTTGTTTTTTAACCTAGGAGCTAATACAAAGTCCAATTCAGTAAACTCTCTACTTACATAAGCACTGAGCCAAGTGGGACAACTTGTACCAGTCTTAAAATGTTGCCCCAGTGTGGTCATTTAATTATACATAATGAAGCTCCCTTTACTCACACAGGTGGGCAGATAATGAACAAGCACTGTCATTCATGTAAGTAATCCATTATCTCAGTGAGTAGCTCTCACCAATATGGTAAAGAGTTTGCTATCTGGCCCAGAATGCCTATATCCTATTCCTTCAACCATAAAGGAGGAGGAAAGGTACTCTTACTTACATTTCTTCCTAGGTTCACTCGTTGTACTTGCTTGTATCCATATACTTGTTTAACACCAGTCTTTTCTTATTTTAAGACTTTTTTTGCATTTTTAGCTATTCTATTTACTGCAAGTCAACCTCATTTCTACACAAATGTACATGATCTCTAGTCTTCTGGAAATCATTTCCCCATTAAAAAATTAACAGTTTTATCTTTTTTCATCCCAAAGCATGGTGTTTCAACATAGTCCACACAAATATAATTAGTTCAGTCACCTTTCACTGTACCACTCCTAGCATTTATTTAAAGTGTCTGATATAACTGGCCGAGGCATCAATAGCATCACATTCACGCCACAAGTGACAACTTCTACTTAAGGTATTACAAAAAATTAAGCGCACAATCCCTTAAAAGCAAGGATTAATATTGACTACTTATATTATTGCTTGTGTGTTGGATGCTTATATCTTATATCAAAGACGTTAATCTTGCAAGGAACCTATTTAAACTGATTTATTTGTGCTTATCCCCAACAGGTCATCCTTGGTTATTCATCATTTTTGCACCACAAACTTACAATTATTTACACTGTAGCAGGACCCATGTTGACATAATTTCAGATCCTATTAAAATTAACTTTTTCATAGGAATCTACCAATCAATGATGGTTTTATTTATGAATTAGTTCAGATTGTTTAAAATCTGAATTACAAGGTCAGCATAGACAGTATTTTTCTTCTTTCTGCCCCTCTGCCCACTCAATGCATAGTTTAAATACTTCTTTCCAGATTGCATTCATATCCAAAACTGAACTTATTTATTTATGTAAGAGCTGCCGTTTTAGTAGAACAAAGAGGTTCAAATAGAGACACAGCCAGTAAGAACGTATTCTGAATTAATTTATTTTTGTCTACATTAAAACAGGAGGAAACATTAAAATAGAAGGAAACATCGTTTTGCCTTGCCCACCACGACTCAATATGGGTAACAATAAATCACCTCTCTATAGTTAGTTACCAACTTCCAACTTAAAATTCAGATTTAAAGACAACTTAGTAGTACATTTGTAATGAATTCTCTCTATCAGTGGTCAGCCAAATTAGATTTCCAATTAAGAGCAGAAAAAGCTAAATATAACCAACTTAAACTACAATTATTATCGTGGTGCCTGCTGGTGTTACTCCAAAGCAGTTAATGGTCCATCAGGGATTTATGGATCAGCTGTGAAAATTTGCTCAGAGCTAAAACTTGCCAATCACGGACTCAGCCTTGGAACACTGCAACCAACTCTAATTTCATGGGACTTTCAGTTATAGAAATGGCAAGGCAAAACTGTGTGGGTTTACTCCACAAAGTAAAGTAGCACTAACCCGAAATGCAAGGAAAAAAAAATCATTTACACAGAACACTGTTAGGTGAATGAACAATGTGGGTGAGGTCTTTTGCCTTCATGCCGGAAGCCCTATTAAATGAGGTTTGACATATTAGCATATGTATTGAGGTTTTTTTTAACTCTATAGCAAGTTAAGAGCAAGGTCCCCACTGTGCTAGGTACTGCACATACATGTAGTAAGAGACAGTCTCTCTACCAAAAAGCAAACAGCAATCTATTTTAACAGCAGTTGCATCAAGGGGTCATGCCAACAATCAGAAAGAACATGAGAAACAAGATGGGAGAAACAGTAAGGGAGTGCATGGCTTCACAACCTATTAATACTTAACAACCCTGTTGTTCTGAATAATACAAAGGATTTTTTGGAGGGCAGTAGGTTTAAGCTGGCAAAGAAACTTCAGCAGCCTACTTGGCCACTGTACTTATTTCCCTCCCTTAGCTGCCACTGGCCCTCTTCCCCAAAACAGGACCTTGAGGCCACTAAATCTGGATAACCAAGGATCCAAGTTTACTCCCTGTCCATTATGTGCTGGTGCATTTGGAGTCTGAGCCAAGCCTCTTGTGCCCTCATCCAGCCTTGATCACAGCACCTTAGCAGGTGTGCAGAGCACTGCATGGAACATTTCTCAGAAGGGCACTTCCTTCATGGTGAATTAATTTTCAAAAGTATTTTTAAAAATTGATTTCACACAGCAATGTAATGGAAATCCTCTTCAAATGTTTAACATCCCACTCTGGCTTCTGAAGCTTCACCAATTCAAACTGCCACAGCCTGGCCCCTGGATGACTCAGCGAAGCAACTTTAAGCTTTCAAAAGCTTTGACTTAGGCTTAAAAATGATGAGGGGTTTTTTTTAATACTAAAATATTGAGGTTTTGTCTTCTAGATGTTGAGTCCTCAGGGTTTATCCACAACCAGGTGGAACAGGGACTTATTTTCTCATATACAAAACACATTTTTTCCCTAAAATTACACTGCTAGAAATAGGGGTGTGCACTAGAAGCAAGGCAATGTAGTAAAAGCAGTTTTTACCTCTGCCATAGGAAAGTAAAAGTGACTCTGCAGTGCTGCACATGGTGCTCCTCCTGACCTGCTGACTGTGGACACCGTCTCTTACCCCTGGAAAACGAGTCTGCTGCAGAAGCAGCTATTCAGGTACTTACCAGTATCTTCCAGGAAAAATCTTTTTCTTCATTCTGCCCTTCAAAAACAAGGTGTGTATCTTATCTGGGAGTGTGTTGTATATGAGAAAATACTGTAACCCCTCCCCTCCAACAATTGAAATTGGAGAGCTGAAATCCTTCCTTAAGTACCTGAATCCAGGTAAGCAACATAGCAAGACTGGTAATAAATAGAGTTGCAAGACTTGGAAACACTATATTTTAATTCCTTTACAAGCAAATCTCTGACAAGCAGACATCACTCTAGACCAGATGCACTGGCAAAATAAGGCAATAATCTACAAAGCAAGTGTTCCTAACTGTAGGCGTTGACATCTTATATCTATGACTCATGGCTAAGGATAAAATAGGATCTTACCATATTCAAAGGATTTTTTGTATATATAATTCTCAGAGAATAAACTACAACAAAGTTTGGTTTTTTTTTTTTTAGGAGAGAGTACATTCTGCTAACTTTTTCTTAAAACAGAAAACAAATAAGAAGAATCACAAGTGAAGTAACAACAAGAATGTGATTTAGCACATTGAATGTGCTCTATAAGGGTCTGAAACATGCTTAATAGATATTGGGCAGTACCAGAAACAATCACCATTCAAAGCCAAAGGTTTCCAAACTGGTTTTAGAGACATTTTGAAGAGATCTATCAAACATGTGAAATGTTATAACCATGCTTCTTTCTAACACACTACTGAGATATTGGTACAATAGCATAACTGCGGATCAAGTAAAACATTATAAATTCTGTAGTGCTTGTTTTCAGATGTGAAGTCAGACAGTTATTATTGCTACCATAGAGTGCAAAAGTACTACAACTGCTACTATGGAGTGGTGCAGAGTTGTGTCCCTTTGCTGTGGGTGGGCGGGCAGGGGCGCCTCCCCATGGCGGAGTAGATCTCCCAGCAGCAAAAAACTTCCCCACTCCGCCCCACCACACTGGGTCCTGCCCACTGGGCTGTGGAGACCCTGGAGGGAGGACAGAAGGGCAGGGAGCCTGCACCTGCCCCCCCCCAAGCCTCCACTCCAGCAATACCACTGCAGGGGAGGGGGAGGCAGGCTCCATGCTTCACTCCCCTCTCTGGCCTCAGCTGCCACCACCTCCCACATGCAGCAGTCAGGGCTTGAGCGCTACTGCGGGGGGGCAGGGGGCTGTGGACCTGGGTCCTTG